TGCGAGGGACACGCTGATGACTGACAGGGTTCTGGGGCCTATAAATGCATGTACTTTTCGAAATAAACCACAGTTGCGAGTGCGCCTTGAGTCGTTCCACTTCTTTGTCCTTGTCTCTTTCGTCGCTTTTAATTATTTAAAGGATCAGTCATAGTTTCATAATGATGAAATTCATGCGTGCATTTGCGTGCTCTCCCTGTCTTTCTTGAGATGTTCCATTTTTGTACTCTTTTGTATTGTGTCCATAGGTTTTGGGAATTTTTGATGCTTTTCTGTGTAATGCCCACCCCTCATGTAATACCGTAATACCTCCTTCTCCGGGGGTCTTCGAGGAAAATAAGCTTCAAAATAAGCCTGAAGCCTCACATAACCCTCCCCCCTGGCTACGCCGCTGCGGTAAGGCGGTGAATAGTCCTGATTCCTGAAGCACGCCGCGCAAGCTGTAATGTGAAACTCGAGGCTTGTTTTTAAATATTTTAAAGTTTTCTCATGTAGAAAGAAAAACTTCGTGGCGTTGTTATTTATTAGAAAGATTACTGGTAAACTAGCATAGCCAATCTGTGCTTTCGCATAGCACGTCGTTAGCTTGCATCCTACTAGCTGCGTCACAGGAGGGCGCCCGCTAAGTGGCGCCACCAAGACATATCGTTGCCAATGCCCGCTATGTTCATGCGACACTAATGGGACGAGAGAAGTTGCCACTCATTTACAGTCGACTTGGGGGAAATTTGAGTTTGTCTGGTTCCCTAATATATAAACAAACGTTGGACTTCGCACGACAATTCTTATACGCGTAGCTGAGCGCGCCGCCGGATACTAGCAATACATTTCAGGGTTGATGAAAATACAAGACTCAATGACAGAATACGAACACTGACAGAAATAACGGTGGTGTCCGTTCTTGTCCCTAACTGTTTTTATTCTTTTATTGATTCTTGTCCCTAATGCATGTTGGCATGTTCTATGATGTGTCATAAGAATGAGCCATGGAAACTCGGTGCCTCCACGTGAGAGCTCACTTTTATATATCAAACGTGTATCTTACAGCGAAGCTGTATACGGCTATGGTTCCATGCAGTTTTGGTATCCATGTGAAAAAACAAAAGTATGAAATTGCACTTAATAGCCCTCTGTTGTATAGAAATGCATATGGGCCCCGTCACCTCGATATGTATTTTAACAAGAAAAGACGTCGAAACGTGTGACAATGGAGATACATCCGAGAACAATGGGGCCTTTATCCCGCTCGAGTCGGGTTTTATATATGTGAATTGTAAAGAATTATATGTGTAGATCTCACCAAAGTTCTAGTGGAACCCATTATCATAGTGATCACAAAGCAATCATCACTACTGTTTCAAAATGATGAATATATATACCGTAAATCAGGGACGGCGCCAAAGGGAGGCGAGGGGTGGCGGGCGCCTCCCCTAAAATTTGTCCTGCCACCCCAAAAACATGCCAGCCTTTACTCCCCCCCCCCCCCCCCTCCTCATCCTAATTTTCGCGCGCAGACCCACATACGTTACATGGTTCGTCATTTTCCTAATTTCCTCGTCCCATAGAAAAGGCATTGGCTTGAAGGATAGCCAGCCTAAAGAGGTCTCATACCGGACGTTTTGAACTTTTTCGTGCCGTCCGCTATATTTTCTTTACGTACCCCGTGAAGAACGATGCATGAATAGGGAGTTTTCGTAGATCGTTTTCGCCGTCCCGCAAGGCCCTCCGCAACCCGCTACGATAGCGGGAACTCTACTGTCAAGGCTATCGGCGCGCAGGCGCAGTAACAACTTCTTCGTTGCGGAACGCTTAGCGGAGGGGGGCAGCGCGGTCTACGAAAACTCCCTAATATCTGTATGGCTTGCCGAAGCTAAGGAGCGTCGTCGCCAACCATAAAAGACTTCCTGAAAGTAGCTTCACCCAAGTGATTACTCGGAAAGACTTGAAATCCCATCTGCACTGCGCCGTCGCTTCGTACCTGCCAGACAAAGGAACTCAAGGGCACTGTTCATGTTCTGACCGAGGAAATCTCCCAAAGTCCTGACACGCTCGGGCCGACTGGCGAGTTCCCAATGGGCGGCTTTGATGTGTCTAGGTCATCCTGCTTATTTCAAGTCTCTATGGGGTCCTTGTAGCAACTTTGGTGACGGCGACTGTGTGTGCTCGGGAAAAAGTATCGCGACTCCAGCAAAACGGTCGCCGCCAAGCGGGAAAACCGGGAACCAGTCGGTCCAGGTCGCACCGCGTCCCGCCGCGTCTCTGATGGCTTTCGCGGACACGTGCTGTCGGCGCGGGGGCGAGCAATGTAATTTGACGAAGGTCCGAAAATTTCTTAAGTTTGCCTGAGTGTTCATTAGTGTGGTGAAGCCTCAATAGATCGTTTCTTTCCATCACGTGTTTGAAAGCCCGTTTACTCCACAACACACGGTCGCGTGCTTTCAATTTTTTGGATGAGGAGGAATCACGGAAAAACGTTTTGATTTCTCGTCTGTCTCTAATCACATTCAAAGTGACGACTGCTTGGTAACTGATAGGTGGTTTCTTTATAAGGATGTAGAACAGTGGACTGAGGTCGACGGACGAAGTGTTTCACTGGAGGGAACACCAATGTTGCAGTTAAGTGAATGGGAAGGTTCGATAGCTGCTTTCCTTGAGTTTGGTTGTGCTCGATTAGCTTCAAGTTAATTTGAGCCAGTAACGCCGGCCGGTGCGTTGGCTATTCATCTTGGCGGCTTTTCGCCGAAAAAGACCACGTTAAGGGAGTTGGGCTAATTTCGCAATTACTTGATTCAGAAAACCTGCTCGCTGCGTATGATTAATGACGGAAATTATCTGCTTTCAAAAGGTGGGGGCGCGTCTCGCAAAGTTAGAAGCTGTCACGTCATTAAGATCTATCGCGCCTTTAATATTTATATTATAGCCCCTGTCGAAGCCAGCAGCAATACACGTCTACATTGCTCAGGTTGACCGGCCACAAAAAATACCCATTTTATCCGTTCAGGATTCGAAGTCAAGTTCAATGCAGAGAGGTCTGAGTGAATCTCCGATGAAGACTCTCCTCAGTTTGTCCGCATTCGTCTCCGTTCTACCGGCAAGAACCGTGTGGAACCGTGTGGCTAAGTTTAAGTAGTATCTCTCTGTTTGTCAAATATACTTTTATTCAGCAGTTCACATAATAGTTAACTAAGTTCATATTTCAACCCGAAGAATATACTAATATCGCTTTAGTGGGACCATAGTACGTAATATGATACATAATCCGCATATTCGTTAAAATGACTTGTCGATTGCTACTAAAACCTGAATTGAAATACGAGTATCAGCTGCTTAGTGAAGCGCCAGCGAGTTGACATGCTCCTTGGCTCAACAAGCGCTTGCTTAATTTTTGTAATTTTCCTGCAGCATGTGTTCTTGACCGAGCACACAACTGGAGCTGTTTCTTGAAACGCGGACAGGCACAAAAGCTCAATTTGCGGACAGATAAGTCGCATGGTCGAGGCATGCGAGTTAGCTAAAAATTACTCTCGGTGGAACAATTTTGTAGCCCTCGCCGCTTTCCTTAGATGATCAAAACTAATTAGAGTCTATTACCGTTTCTCCGGAGCCCATAGTTTCGGTTTTGATCGAAGTCTCCGAAACAAAAGTTTGACATAAAAAAAAAAAAAACACCGGAAAAACAAAGCTATGCTCGGCAAGTTTATGCGCACCGGCTACGCTTAACTGTCTCAGTTCAAATACCCATAAAATTGGGCATTCAACAAAAGAAAATTTGTTAAATTGAATGCGCCACCCATTCAGGCGGCCCGGCCGAGCCGACGCGACCTGGACTCAGCCGCCATGTTTGTTTGGTGGTGGCGCCCCCTATAGGTCGCTGGAGTCGCGAATAGGTCGGAGCCTGGTGGTTCGAGAACTGCCATGCTCCCATCATTAGTGACCTTGGGGAACGGAGTCCTTTCGAGGGACTATCCCAAGAGGTTGGAGGAAAGCTGAAGGTGTTTCTGTATTTGGGGGGGGGGGGGGGGGGGGGGGGGGGGGGGGAGGAGGAGGGGGGAGGGAGAGAGGGAGGGAGGGAGGGAGTAAAACAGTGGAAGTGCTGTATTTGGACAGAGGCCTATCGAAGGCGGACTACCACGCAGTGCGGCACGCAAGATGTCCCAAACATCATCGGCTTCCTTGAAGCAGATGAAGAAAAATGGCGCGGCTAAATCTGTCACCGTGTACCTCTGCCAGGCGTATTCAGCAAAGAAGGGAGAATCGTCACTACATCTACATGGTCGCTGACGTGCTCCGGTTTTCCGCGGTGCAGGGGACTGCCTAAAAAGCAGATGATGAATCACGACAAGCGTGAGCGTGCTTATTTAGTATTGCGGAATGTAAACATGCCTGAATATTTTGCAGGTGAAATGCTACATTAACCAGAGTTGTACATAGGTTGTAAAATAATGAAATAAACTGAGTTGATTTCTATTAAAAACTCCCGAAGCGCCAAGTCATCGTCCCTGGATATTTGTTCTTTAAGTCGGATCGAAAGCTCATGCCTCCCCAAATATGCCGTGCGCCTCCCCACTGCCCCCTCATTGTGAAAAGCCTGGCGCCGTCCCTGCCGTAAATAAACATTTGGTGAAGTGCTTTTGTGTGTCTCTTGGTGAATCATTTGTGGTGGTGCTCTACAGTTTCGCTGGCCAACCACCTTCAAAGAGTGGAATAGCTCAAAAATTTTTTTGGTGCATTTCTAGCAGCGTAATTTGGCTCGACATATAATAGCGTCTCGTAAACGTAGACGATAGAGTGTAAAACGAAACCGAAACTGCATAGGTGTTAGGTAAATTCCTTGATCTAATATAAAGCCTGTGGTTAAGATACAATGTGAAACTATGACAATATTCAGAAAATATTACGTTGTTATTTTTTTTAACCAACTTGATTGGCATTACCCCTCGTTGCTCAAGATGAGTGGGTTTCCCAAGAACTCCACACAACCTTGGCAGCCTTCAGATGCAATGGCGTCTGCGTATCAAGCTAGGTCTTTGTACGATTTTGACAGCAAAGACAAGCGGCTTCTAAGCTTCAAACAAGATGAGAAATTTATTGTTATCGAGCAGTTATGTAAAGATCCTAACTGGTACTATGCCGTTAGTGAAAAGGGAATTGCGGGCTTCGTACCGGTCACTTATATTTTGCGCGAAGAGGTAAGGGCGTTTTGACAAGTGTATTTATTTGCATTAAATCCTCCGTTCGCGCTTCAGCGAATTTTTATAATGTAGCATACCTGAACTGTTACCAAGACAGAATGCCAATGTTATATTATTCGGAAACGCCGGTTACCTGTTCTGACACTGAAATTTGATGTATATTTCGACTAACATGTATTGACCGCTTTCGACGCGGTTTCCAGCATTTGGTGTCCTCGTCTTAATTTGAATCCGCCCTCTCTTTGTTTTCAGAGCGATAGGGAACAGTTCTTGGAACTTGTCGAGAAAACACTGGAGGCGCTGCAAAACAGCACTTCAAGCTTAGATGAGGGCAACACCAGTTTCATGAGCCTGCAGAGGAAAGCGCTTAGGTACAGTAACGCTCTTTTGTAAGTCAACTTTCCACTTTCTGTAGTCGACCCGTCGTCTTGTCTTAGACAAGACAGAGTTCTCATCTAATCAAGGTGCTTTTTCCTTCGTAAGAAAGTGGGGGCAATATATAGTTGTTTCGTGACACCTTTCGAAATAATTATTTTTCTGTGTGCAAGCAAGTACAGATAAAACGCTATTACATATGAAAAGCACTATGAAATCAGCATACGAAAAACATCACATCTTTTATGTACTGGGGTTTTGTGCGACCACTTGTAATGGTCAAAGTAGCTGATTGTTAAGGGTTGCAAATAGAGGGACAGTAAAAATGCACCAGCTTTACCTGTCCAACCCCACTTAACTACTAAATCAGGTTCCTCAGACAAACCTACCCCCTTGATAAGGTATGTGTAAGGCAGAGGCTACATCCATGCACGGGGACGTAGCTAAGTCGGGAGGAGATAAGGCTCCATCCAAGCAAAAGGTCACGTGACTTATAATATAACGACATAACTTGTTTTTATATACATATTATGCTTTCTAAATTAAAAGTAAATTAGGATATTAAAATAAAGAGGTCAAATTTTATTGTGGTTTTAAAGTGAATATGTCATGACCCCGTCAAAGTTTTAGAAAATTTATCAATATTTTACTGTTTTCTCACAATAATAGCAAATATCATGCATCATAAAAATATTATCAATATATGTCTTTATAGTTATGTTGTCCAAGAGTCACACACGTGGGGGTGGCGTGCGTGCCATCCGTGGGTGTGGGCGTGGTTGGCTTGGTGCGGGTGGAGCCTCCGGGGCCTTTGCCCATGTGTGTATCGCTGCCGAGGCGAGGCGGTTAGGCTTCGTCGTGTCTGTGGTTGGCTTGGTTCGAGGTTTATTAAGGTCGGTTCTCACATGAAGCGAAGCGCTAATGTAGCGCTGCTCACGTGTTGTCAGCTACTTACAGTCTGCCGCGAGCAATGGATTTGACGGTGCGATACAAAGCTGGCGAACGCTCCCGTCGGCACGTGCTTAGTGCAAGGTCAGCGCTGGTCAGCGTTATGCTTGTAGCGCTCGGCTGTATGTATGAACAGGCCTTTAGTGTGGGCTAATGTGCATCGAAGAGGACAAGTGCGAGCCCACCGTTCCGTACTTGACTTGCGTTCCGTTCCGTTCTTGACTTGCGCGCACACTCGTTCCGTTCCGTTCTTGACTTGCGCGCACACTCGTGCAGTCTGGATTTCTGCAGACTACCCGCTCGTGCTTGCAGCTGTAGCGCACACAGCCCGGAAGTCGATTCCTGCGTGGACTTAGCCAAGTTGGGGAGGGCAGCACATCCATACCGGAAGTGACGTAGTGCGTTGATGGAGCCTTATCTCCTCCCAACTTGGCTGCATCCCCGCGCGTGGATGTAGACACTCCCTATTTTTAAGGGAAGCCGCATCACTAGCAAGATCACTTCCAACCTGCTTTCGAGGCCCAAGCATGGCCTCGGAGGCAGGTTGGAGCCCATTGGCCTTGTTACCACTTTTATATGCTTATTAAACATGTCCCAAGACTATCACATTTTGTCAAACACGAACTCAAGACAGAGAAGAAACAATTGCGCAAGACCGAAGACAGCATTCTCAAAAGTGCTTCAATGTAGTTGCAGCGGTGGGGGGAAACGAAAATGGTGATGGACAATGGGCTCCAAGCTCCCAAGCCTCTGGTTGCTGCGTCTCTGGGCCCCAAGGATTGGAAAGATGAGTTTCAAAGCTACAACTGGTATCTGTCCGCAGTGCAGCTCAACAAAGACTGCCGGAAGTGAAAGTCGCAAACCTCATGACCGATCAAGTCCGAAGCACAGAGGATCTGCGAGACGTTTGCAGCATCAAGGAGAATTCCAGAAAGCTCTTCACGATGAAGATCAACTCTGCTTATGAGCGGTACAACTTATCAAAATGAAGCAACAAGAAGGCCAGAGCTTCATAACTTTCTTACAACAGTGAGATTGCAGGCTAACAAGTGCCAATTCTGAATCCTGACCGACGAGATCCTAAGGGACTGCATCATCGTGAACATTTTGAACGACAATGTTCGCAAAAAGCTTTTGGCGACATGACCATTGACTTCAAGAAATCCGTCCACTTGTGCCGAGCATGCAAACAGGCAACGCTAAAGCTGAAAGGAATAACAGCAAAAGAAACAAAAGCTCTAAATGCAATCGACGACAAAAAAAAAAAAAAATCCCAAGTCGGCAAATTGACTGGAGAAAGCCTTGCAAAGTACTTTGTATCGGCATGGAGCAGCAGAGAGTGCCCTGCATACAGCAAGACCTGCAACTCGTGTTGCATAGTAGGCCATTTTGCTGCAGTGTGCAATTCGTGGAAAGCGAAAAATCTGTGAGGTTGGGAATGCCTTGGAGAAGCAAGAGTCGGACAATGAAGAAATTTATGTCTCCGGGTTCAGAGCTGCAGCCAGCAAGAAAAAATCAGAATGGTAAGAAATCCTTCAGCTCAGAAGTGCCAAGACTGTTACTATGAAACTGGACACGGGAGTGCCTGTAATGTGCTACCCAAGCAAGAAGCAAGAAATGAGGGCTTGAAGATGGTACCTTCAAAGGTAAAGACCATTGTCTCCTATACTAACCACAAGTTTTCTGTTGTGTGGGAAGCCCAAGAATTGTGTGAAGCTAGTAGTGAGAAGACAAGACTGACATTTACCATTTGGGATACCCCAGTCACACCTGTTCTTGAACAGACAGCATGAGAAACTCCCAACTTGGTGTAGCGTGTACGTCTGTTTAAAACACCGAGAGCTGACGACGGCATCTTTCAGATGATAGGCTGTATCAAAGACTATGTTTACAAAGCTGACATCGAGGAAGCCGCAGTGCAAAAGCTGGAATACAAGCCACCAAGAAAGATCTTATACGTCTTGATGAATGAAGTAAGTAAAAAGCTTGACAGCGTGGAAAGATGAGGAATCGTAAAGAAAGTCATGCCACCAACGCTGTTCAGCAGTTAAATGGTGGTAGTTAAACAACAAGGAAAACTCGGAATTTGTCTGGACCCAGTTGAACTCAGCGAGGGTTGCTGAGAAGACAATATCCCCTGAGAACCCTCAAAGTTGTCACCCAGATACAGAAATCCTCATATCACAATGTTGGCCTGAAAAAAGGGTTTTGGCAACTAAAAGTCTCGGGAGAGACACAGAGCTATCTCGCATTTAGCATGCCCTGGGAAAGATACTGCTTCACAAGAATGTGATTTTGAATAGCTACAGCATCAGAAGTATTTCAACAGGTCATCAGCTACTTGAAGTCCTTCCTAAGGTTGTGAACTCTATGGACGACATCTGGGTCAACGGCAAGACCAGCGAAGAGCTACAAAAGCACGTGCGCTCTTCTGAAAGTACTGTGTGAGGCAGGAGCAAAGATAAACAGAGAAAAGTGTGTGTTCGACCAAACTATACAGTGAAGTTCCTTGGTTACATGCTCACTGAAGGACTGAGAATTGACAATGAAAATGTGAATGCCATTGAAAGGATTGGCGAGCCAAAAGACAAGGCAGAACTGTTGAGATTGATAGGAATGCTACAGTACTGAAAACAATTTGTTCAAACGTGGTAGAAAAAACACAACTTTCCATACAAGACGTCGACTGGCTATGGATGGAGGAACAGAGCTCTGCTCTAAAAGAAATCAAAGAAGCTTTATGAAGTCTCTAACACTGGCGTTGTATGGTGCAGTGATTTCCCTAAACCCCCCCTATGGGGTGTAAACACCCCCCCCCCCCCCCCCCCCCCCGTTTTTCCGAAAGCACCCACTTGATTCACAACGACTCCTATATTCTCAATGCCCCCCTAAAAATTTAGACACCCCCCCCCCCTCCTCTAATTTCAATTCCTGGAAAAACCTCTGGTATGATGTAAATGGAAACATGACAGTCTCAGTTGATGCAAGCTCGGTAGTTCTTCGTGCGGCGCTCCCACAAAATGGAAAGCCAGTGTCATATGCCTCAGCAGTACTGACTTCTGCGCAACAAAACTATCGCCCGCAGATAAAGAGGCATTGGCAATCAGGTTTGGCTGTAAAAGGTTTCATCAGTACATGTACAGATGACCTCTGATAGTAGAAACGGACTACAAACCTTTAGAAACAATCAGCCAAAAGCCGCTGGGAAAAGCCCCACCACGCCTCCAAAGGCTGCAGCTTGATGTGCAGCATTATACACCAAAATTGTCTACACAAGAGGCAAGGAGCTGGTCATTGCAGACCTCTTGAGCAAAGACTGCAAACCAGAAGAAACATCAGATTCGGCCACGCAGGACAGTACATGGAACTGTTGGCCGTCATTCCTATAGCTCCAACGACCCTGGAGGAGTTAAAACGGATACCTATAACAAGATCCACAACTACAAGAAGTCATTGAAGCAACCCTCGAAGGCTAGCCAGAAAAAACAAGGGGACAGTCAGAAGCAATGAAGCTCTTTTGGCCATTCTGGTACGAACTTGCTGTTTACGAGGACATCCTCTTCAAGGGCAACTTCATAATCATTCCCTAAACCCAGAGGAAGCAACTGCTCCAACAGATAGACGAGGGACATCTTGAAATTTGAAGTGGCATCAAGAGAGCCAAAGAAACTGTCTACTGGCCTGGAATGTCACAGCAGATCAAGGAGTTTGTTGAATGTTACACGACATGCCAAGCAAGCCAGAAGAAGCCAACAAAGGAGCCAGTGCTGCCAAAAGAAGTACCAAGTCTCCTGTGGGTAATTGTCACAGCAGATCTCTTTGACTGTGCGAGAAAGACCAATCTGGTGATAGTGGACAGCCACTCAGGCTACATCAGCTTCAAAACGCTAACAAGTGGAACATCAGCAGATGTCAAAACACTGGAGTGCTGGTTCGCAATGCACAATGTTTTAAGGCTACTTGAGTCAAACAATGCACCTTGCTTGTCAGCAGAAGAATTCCTAGAGTTTGGAAAAGAATGGGGATTTGATCACCAAACATAGAGTCCCAGGTACCCAGAATCGAATGGACTAGCCGAAAGAGCGGTGCAAGTGGCCAAGAACATGATAAAGAAATGTCATAGACGGTACAGACATACACAAGCCATTACTAAACGTGAGCAACATGCGGAGAAACGAAGGGCTCGGATCACCAGCACAAAGTCTTTTCAGTTGTCGAACCGATACAACACTACCAGTCTGTGCAAAGCTCCTGAAACCTGAAATTATTAACAGTGTTGAAGAAAAGCTTGAAGCACTGCATCGGAAGCAAAAGATGTATGCAGACATTCATGCACACCCACTCCAAAAATGATCGAAGGATCCAAAGTCAGACTATTCGACAGTCACCAAAAATAAATTGTGGGAAATACGCCCCACCTAAGGTCTTTTATTGTGAAGACACTGAGGGGCAACCTCAGAGAAATATGTCTTTCATTAGACCTATCAAGGCAAATTTTGAAGGCACAAAGACAACACTACCCACTGTCGCACAGCCACGTACACCTTACAATTCAGAGAGAAATGGACCGTCCACTGTCCGGTCGAACAAACCACAGTGAAACAGACACTCAATCAACACATGGACACGGTACAACAACCACCGCATAAACTGGAATGCTAGTGAAGGCACCGGCTTGAATGAATTTTTAAAACAAACAAAAGAAGGGGTGTATAAAGGAAGCCGCATCGTTAGCAAGATCGCTTTCACCCTGCCTTCTAGGCCCAAGCATGGCCAGTTCTTTGTTATCACCCTTTAAACATATGCTTATTAAACAGTTCCCAAAACGTTCTTTGTTATCACCCTTTAAACATATGCTTATTAAACAGTTCCCAAAACCACAGCATCTGGTGGTACACAATCCCTAACTATGTCTTCCAGCTCCCCAAAAACTTTCCTGCCTTCTTAACTTTTTTTTTTTTTTAATTAAAACAATTTAGGAAACTTATTAGGCTGTTCTTTAGTGCAACTGTAAATGTACTGCTTGCAGAGAAGAGTATACTGTAATGAACTTTATTTTGGTGGGCTTAATATTTAGAGAATTCAGCAAAGTGTGGTGTTCAGAAATGTTTTGCAGGCATAAACTTTTATGTGTGAGGGTGGTATGCTATGTTTTTGTTATAACAGAAAAACATGTTTATGGATTCTATTTTTTGCAATATTATTTAGGTCGCTAAATTATTGAAAAGTAGATTTTAGCACAAAAAGAATTATTTACAGTATTGGTCTACAATTATAGCACCACCACCTCATTTTCGGAAAAGTAGTAGTCTCATGAAAAACACAAAAACAGCATAGCTTAGAAGGTGAATGCTAGATGTGTGTAAGCCAGTTAGAGTATTAGATAAGGCATTATGCCACCAAAGTATTCTGCTGTGAAGAGCTGTCCCAGTCTTCATCCCATCTTCAGATTGGCTCAATCAGATCGTTGATTTTGCCCTTTTCCAAGATTTTGCTTAAACGGAGCATAGGAAACAATGTCTCCAGGGGGCGAGAAATTAGCTTTTTCACTTTGTACTGTGCAGTTAATGTAATAAATCAGCTTGACTAAACTGCTTCATTTTTGAAACCTACATGTGCAATGGTGCTTTGGTAATTTATGGTGTGTTCATAGCAACAGAAATGTTTCAAAGCAGCTCTGTGCAAAGTAAACAAATGTTGGTGCCTCTGCTGGACAAGATACCATCTACCACCAAACCCAGTGTTTCGTAGCTTCTCCTATGATTACGGTGCCCACTTTTCTCCGTAGCTTGTAGAGATTGTGTTAAATCACTGCCTCACTCTGCTCCACTAGCAGAGCATATGAGTTCCTCTCACTACCATAGCAACATCTGCTTCTCTCTCACCACAGCTAGCTAACCCTATTTCCGCCGAGGCCACCATTGACCCGAACACTATGATTACTGGAAGTGGGCTATCTTTCTGTGTTTTGAAGAAAAGTATAAAAAATCAAGCCCAAAATAGGGGTGGGTTATATTTTGAGGGAGGTGCATCTCCCGGTATATTAGGTAGTCGCCTTGTCAATATGGAACTATGAACATGTCCAGCGATTCAGGGTTTATAATTGTCCACCTCCAAACTTGTGTCTCCGATCAATACTTTTTGGGGGTTTCTCATCTTCATTCTCACTCTTGAAGGTGTAACATTATCTGGTTTCCTGACTGAAATTACTGCTGTTGACCTTTTTTTATTTTACTTTTGCAGGCGGTTACACCACCTAAAGGAAAGCTTGCGGAGTTCGTGCGAAGGTATTTTTGACAAACAGTTACTTTAGAACTTTGTTAAAAAAACATACAATAATGGTGCATAATTTACATTGTTTGGTGTTGAACTAACGAAACAAACAACAGTTATTTGCTCTTTCAAGGCGCAAAAGCTTTTAAATGCTGAATTACCATTTTGCCTGCCATGATCACAGTGACCTGCAGCATGACACAATTGCAACATCACCAGGTAGAAATCAAGGTGACTAAATAAAACTATAATAATCACACCTGTCACGTATATGTTTCACGTATCACAATAACAAATTATCCTGTGAATGATACATCCGCAATGATGATAGTATTTGCTTGCCTTTGTTGCCGACGGTCTATAATGTAAGCTGGGATGCTGACCTTACCTGGTTTGACCTGAATTTTCGCTTGTGAAATGAAACTCAACCTGCAAAGGAAAAGCCCTATATACACTTCAGTGCTCTTTTTATTAGGTATCTGGGAAGAGAAATTTCTATATTCGAGATCAGAGTGCAGCAAAAATTCTACTATTGGTTGTCTCTCAAAAGCTGGAGCTTGTAGACTTTACTGACTAGGAGTGTGGTGTTTTCTGGGGCAGGACCAGTGAGGGACACGCCGAGGGAGACTGCCCTGGGCCACCAGTCACCCAGCGATTTCCTCCAAGAAGAGTACTCCAGGATAAACTCGGAGTGGATCTCGGAAAACCTGGCTGGAGCAGAGTTTGAAGTTGCTCCCCGGGACAAGCGTGTGCCCACTTCCAGCGGTGAAGAAAGTCACCCGGAACTTCCAACGTTGGCTGCGGAGCTCATAGAACAGGTGAACCCCCTGATAATTTTGCAGGGCGTAAATGTTGGACTTGTCATCTAACGTCTCTTGGAGTGGGTTACGTAGATGTTCAAGAGTGATCTACAGTCCTGCCAACCTCATGGACGAGAGTCAGTAGTTTGTGCACATTCTTTTTTTGTCCCAGTGGGGCAATAAATACTTTGCAAAAAAAGGGGCGAGTATGAGGCACGTAAGAAGTTGCGAGATTGTCCTCCTTGCCTTTGTAGCATCTACCACGTGGCACTAAAGAGAAGAAACAGGGTAGCATAGCTCACCTGCTCGCATGCTTGCCTAAAGCCTATGCCTCTGTCGTCTGCTACTGCTACCTTGACACTCCTTGAAAGATAACCTTGACCACAGCGTAAAATAAAAGACGCTAAATGTGCGACTTCTCCCAGCAGCAGATTACACAAGTTGGATTGTCAATAGTACAAGCCCCGAAGTTACGTTAAAACGAGGGGCCGATGCGAGTGCTGCAGGCAGCACATGCACAGGCGGCCTACGTTCTGGCGAGCGGCAGCGATAGTTGCGCAGCTACGCACAATCGCAGTAGCACAATAGCAGAGTGTGGAATCTATACATCCGGTTTTCAGAACACCTTTTGGCATGTGGGAGGGAAGGGGGGGGGGGGATGAAAGGTTTGCAAAATGTCCGCTGCAAAATCTAGCACAGAGAACCTATGTCTTCCAAAACTTAGACCTCGTTCCCGTCACCTTTGCTCTGCTCCAAGCTAAAGTGAAATGGCGATTAGTTCTGTTCTTCACCACCGTGCATGTGGTGGTCGAATCCTGTGCGCAATATTGAATCATTATCCACTCTGCCAAGCTTGTTTCTTCATTAGATCACAAAGATCCTTCCGATGCTGCAATCCCCTCCTCAAGTCTCCCAAACCCGTCGGTCTGACACAAAAACATCCTGCTTTGTTAAATCAGAGTCAGTAGCAGTGCCCGACAAGGAGCAGTAATGCAGCACATAGAATTTGGCAGCTAAACTGTCGGTTAATTTGAGCATGTGCATTGCATATTCTCACAGTGGAGGAAAGCATGGTGCACCTCAGTCTTACCAATATAACTACCTAATGAAAGGACAACTCTAACCAAAACATAATAATACGGAGCCCGACGTTTGAAGGCCAGTTCGGCCCCTTGTTGACGGGTGACTGTTTTCGTTCTTGTCGTCGTCTTGTAAACTGCCCAGCGTTGTTGGCTTCTTTAAAGCAACCGTTGTTTCTGCACGTGTGTTATGTTTCGTAGCGCCTCGCATGACGCACTGCAAACCGGACACGTAGCCACTTGGAAGTGTCCCAGCTGACCGGTTGACATTATTTTTTGCATTCTGAATGTACCACAACTCTAATAAAAGGCGTCTTCACCAGTTTCTTTCCGTGCCAAGAATAGAGCAGTTGTTAAATCCGATTGTGTGACCCTCTGTCTGGACGAGTTCTGCCAGCGTGCTACCCTGCACGTTATTCTTTTTGACGTCATTCTGATGCTGGCGTAGATGTTCTAGGAAGTTTTGTTTTCCCAACGTAGGAGGCAGCACAGTCACCACAGGGGATCCTGTAGTTGAGTCTCTGAGCCTTTTCTTTAAGGGACGATCCTTTGGAAAAGAGAAGAGGCATCCAATGGTGGACACCGGTTTATGTGTTGCACTGACGCCGTATTTTCGTAAAACGCACGCGAGAGTCTCGCTTGTACCCCTGATGTACGGGACGCAAATGCAGGTGGGTGGAGAGGGGGGCATCTTCTGTTTCATTGTGTTTAAGTTTTTTGTGTGTGTTGTTTGAAAACCATGCAGGATACCCATTCTGTTTCAGGTTGTGTTTGATCGTTGTGACCTTTTTCGAGCCTCTTCAGTGGAGCAGACAGTAATTGCTCACCTGAAGAGTGCGGAAGTCACAGGAGATTTGTGCGTTGCAGGGTCGTAGGACGAGAAGTTCAGGCATCGGCCGTTGTGCGTCCATTTTTTGTAAACTTCGAATGTCAAACAGTTGGACTTTCTCTTCGTGAGCACGTCCGAGAATGGGAAGAGAACCGTCAGGCTCCAGCTCAATTTTAAAATGTATCGCCAGTTCGATGGAGTGTAAGTGGTGTTGAAGATTGTTGATTTCACTTGTTTTGACCTAACAGAAACAATCGTCGACATACGAAATTCTTGGCACGGTAAGAAACTGGCGAAGACTCCTTTAATTAGAGTCCTGGCACACTCAGAACACACAAAACAATGTCAACCGGTCAACTGGGACGCTTCCAAGCGCCTATGTGTCCGGTATACGGTGCGTCATGCGCGGCGCTACGAACCATAACACATGTACAGAAACAATGGCCGTTTCAAAGAGGCCAACAACACCGGGCAATTTGCAAGTTGATGACAAGAACGAAAACAGTCACCCGTGAACAAGGAGCCGAACTGGGTTTGAAACGTCGGGCTCCGTATTATTTTTTGGTTAGAACTTTCCTTTCATTAATTGTCATTCCTAACCAGGTGGATGTCCACCGGAAGGTTTACGACCAATATAACTGCGTGATAGGATGCAAAGTGAGAAGAGTAATTTCTCAGTATGAATGTGTTGTCTGCATGGTTGTTTCAGGTGCGCAGCCAGACCCAGCTGAGCCATAACCTGTCTCGGGTGGCGGTGATAGCTGTGCTGCGTTGCCTGTCTCGGTCCTTGCCTGGTACTTGTCCCTGGGACGGGCTCCTGGACAGCGTCCTGAAGGCAGAGGTGGGGACCCTGCACTCTGCACCCTCGGTGCTAAGATGTGGTATACCGTCGTATTAACTCGCATAACTAATGCATTCGCATAATTCCTTCCCAACCCGCGAAAGAATTATCTTTTAATTTGCGCTGTTCCATTATCTATCTTTTACATTTTCATTACATCAGTGGATGCACCCAGGGTGCTTACACTAAAGAAGCCTTGGTGTCAGAGCTGCCAAACACGGCGCTGCGACGCTGATACGTAGCTCAAGGAATGTTGAGGGAAAACGCGGATAGCATGACTCCAGCAGTTTACAGGACACAGATAAAGTCTTCGTGCAAAGATACCATCTATGAAGATTGCATTTGTATGGAGAATCATGTTCTCAGTCTAATTATTCGCTATGTCATTTATGCACAATGCAATGATTGGCTGTATATGTGCTTTGCGGGAAAGTAGAAACAAGGGCCTTGTTCATAAATAGTGCAGCTGTTACTCGAGTAACTATCAGTGATGTTATTGCTGCACCAATTGCGCCAAACTGCGCCAAGGGGCTAACCCTGCTACATCCTGCTACATTTTGCCGAAATATGGGTAATCTGCGCCAAGCCTGCGCCAAAAGACCAATTTCGGTCGTCTTTCAAAACCGAAACTAAACTGAGTACCGTAATTGAGCATGCATGAGCTAGGTAGCGCAAGCGGCCGCCCAACAAAAAGTACCCTGTATCAATCGTCCACCTAGTTTTACATAGTTTTTCCCGCCACCTCTCATTTCACGCTCGCGTCGTTCATGTGTCTCGTCTCGCGTCTTAAAAAAAAAAAAAAATAAAAATTCAACGATAGGCGCGGGCATGTGTTGACGCTTCACTGCTTCAGTCGTTGTACAAAGCGCTCCAAGTGCTTAAATGCTTTTTGACCCTGACTCGCAATGTCTTGTTTTGACCTGACTCGCTCAGGTTCTTTTTTCTGTGTGTTTAGCTTGTACCTCGCCTGCCGGCCAGGAAAGCACGTGCCGCTGGACTGTTTTTTGTCGTATTTTGCATACAATTTTGGAAACCAGTTGGCAACAGAGCGGAGTGGCACGGTGTCTGTTTCGATCGAACAGCCACCTCCGCTCGCGCGACGAAGCACATGCAAATGAAAGCCTGCCAAAGTTGCCCTCATGTGCACGCGGACATGACTGCACGACAGAGGCACCAGCCGGGACGCTTGCAAGCCATTGTTTTAAGTTTGCTTACTTTTGGGTCCATACCACATGAGCGAATGACGTTTTAGCGAACAGCGACATTTGAGCGAATAACGGGGGCGCGCGTTAACCCATACGCCGCGCTGCGCTTTACGCCGCTTCGTGGCGACAGTCTGCGTCGGCTCATTACAAAAATGTGAACCCATTTGGCCCACCCGAAAACGCCGCTTTGCGGCGTCCGACTATTCGCTAAAGTGTCATTCGGTGAAACGTGGGCGTTCGCTAAAACGTCATTCGATCAAGTGAGTGCCTCCCACCCACAGCACTGTTCATTTGTGGGACGGCTCAATGTCTCTTTGGAGACATTGAAAGTGGGAATTCATTACTAGCCAAAGGCAAAGCGAGTCTTGCAGCAGCCTTGTAGAAAGTTTCGAAAAGCAAAAAGAAAAGCACCCGGTAGTCTTAATGCACCTTTGTCTTGTATACAATTTCGCATTGCCCTGCAGTAGTTACGTGTTTCATCAGTCGGAGACAGCTTCCATTTATTATATTATAACTGAGTCGGTCAACCTAATGCTGTGATATTTACTAATAAGCTGGCCATTTTCAAATAAATTTTAATATGTGCAGTTTGGTTATTATTTATCTATAACCGAACATATATATGTATAACTTAACTGAAGCATTGCAAAATGTGTCATGTTATTGTGTTTTCAGTAACATGTTGAAAGACTCCCAGGTGGTCGAACTTGACCATAATTTGTTTATTGCGGCGAGCGAAGTGGCCTTCATTCGTTCAGCACTTAAAACGAATATGTTTATTTTTCTAAGAATATCTGCTCCAAAAGCCACTTTTACTGCTCCGAAACATTGTTTTGGCTGCTCCAAAAGCAACTTTTGCTGCTCCAAAACACTGTTTTGCCTGCTCCAAAACCACTTTTTCTGCTCCAAAAACCACTTTTTCTGCTCCAAAGCACCGTTTTGGCTGCTCCAAAAGGTGCTCCAAAACGGCTTAGGCCAATCACATCACTGAACTATGGTAGTCCAAGGTGTCAACTGCTCTCCCTCGCTGCGTCGACAAAAAAAGTGGGGTCTACATCGTCGTACGTCTAGACCTCCGGGCGTTACTCGGGAGGGCCACGTGGGCAGACGGAGCGCCATTGGCCTGTTGTTCCTGCGCATGCAGGAGTGCGAGCGACCCCTGGTGGCCAGCCAGGACGGAGACCGTCTACAGCTGCTCCTGCGGCGCCTGTGGCACTGCAAAAATGACGACCAGCAGCGCAGCTGGCCAACCCACCAGGACGAGGCTTCCATCCTGGGCCTGCTCGAGGAACTCTACACGATCCTGGTGGGTTTCTCCCCGTCCTCGCCGCCATGGTGACGGGAACCCATCTCCGACTGATATTGCATCGTCGCTTGTGGTACCTCCATTTACGCCCGGTGACTTTGTGTCGTGCTGTTGGCTGAGGCGATCCTGGCGGAAGTGGCTGCGGCAGACGACCGTTGGGCCGCAGCTCGCTCTGCAGCCAGGCAGTCGACAGAAGCTACCAAAGCAGACGCGAGATGGCACGCTGCGACGACGGCCATTTGTGCATCTGTTCGTCGTTTGGTAGGCGTATCTACGACCAACCGCTTGGATTGCAACGTTCGACTGCGTGACGTGCTTGCTCTCGCGACGTAATTTGTTGCCATTTGGGGACCATATTCGACACACAAGTGGGATCGGACGATAAGTGCGTCAATCAGCGACGCTTTTTAGGCACGGTACCCTCACCGCTTGTTCCAGTCGTGCCGACTTTTCTTTCTTCTTTTAGGTGGGCACTACCAGCCAAGCTTTTTGCTTTGAGCTCTCGAAACCCGAAGCTTCTCTCAAAAACATGAAAGGGAAAAAGTATGATGGTACGAGTGTGGCCTTGCGTGTCGAGTTGCTTATTGTAATATCTTGAGAGATACGCCACTCTGAACAATAACTTCATGTTTGGCATGATTTGCTGTTTTTTTTTCAAAAACGCCCAAAAGATAGCCCACTTCTAGTAATTGCGGGACCTTGGCCAGTGGTGACCTCGGCAGAAACAGCGTTACATATCTGTGGCGGGGAATAAGCGAACGTTGCTGACTGGGAAGGACAGTCAGTCGTTTTTGGTTCACAGCCCTCTCTATGATCGCAAGTTTTAGCAGGTCAAAATCTTAAACTAGCATTTTCTAGAGCGCAGCTCTTAGGCATCTGTTTCTGGCTTGAGCAGCATCGCCGCCAGCGTAACCATGCGCGTTGCGTTATGGGACGTTTTCCCGCTAATTTTTACGTCACATGACCTCAACACCAATTCAGTTTCCTCGCTAAAATTAGCGGGAAAATTTTCGTTAAATTTCCCCGCTAAAATCTTTGCTAACTTTAGCGAAAATTTCGTGCTAAATGAGAGAGTAGCAGGAGAGGAGGGAAGGGTATGGAGAAAGAGGAGGGACATACCCTCCACTCCGTACCCTCCCCTCCTTTTCCTCAAGAGTTGCGCTCTAATTACAGAGAACTGTAAATGTGTCTTATTTTTGCAGCTTTTTTTTATCGCGCACCGTGAGTTAGCCCACTCCTCATTTTCACCCGATTTGCTTTCAGTTTTACGTGGGCTATCTGTCGGGATATTACGGTCAAATTCTGATTGTAATGTTTGACTTTTTTTTATTTCTTTCTTCATTCTAAGTTTTGGTTTTCCATGCCTAGTTTCTTGCTCTTACATGCTCCTGCTTTCTCGTTTCAATCTGGGCACGCTCAGGTGGACGCAGACCCCAGGGTGTCGAGGCTGGTGGTGCAGGCGGACGAGTACGACTGCGTCACGACTCTGGCCCTCTATTACCAGATGGTAAGCAGCGCTGTCACGTGAATCCTCCAGTCTGCTGAGGCACTTTCTCAGCCTCCTCGAAGGGATGCGTAACATTGAACCTCGGCTCCGGGGTCAGAACCTTGCGTTTGCTTCGAAGACCATACCCAGCAGTTTATACAAATTTACGCTAAGTGCTGACCTCAACAGAGTTTCAAGTTCGTAGCTCTGGAAAGTTGCTCAGAGGAAGATGAGCACTATTGTAACCAGAGCGTGCACACTTTTCACGTTAGTACACAAGACAGGGATGGAACTACTGCGCCGATTGCGCCATTGTGCGCCTAATGACTTTTAATGTGCCACACTGATGCAAAAATATAAATAAGAACAAAATTGTGCCAAGTTGCGCCCAAACTGAAATTATAAATGAGCCTCGTCGAAATTAGCCGTCTCGCAGTTTCTGTTGGCAACATTGAATCGGAACTTCCGGCTCAAATGGAATGCCGGTGGATACGGATCCGAATCCAAAAATATAAATAAGAACAAAATTGCGCCAAGTTGCGCCCAAACTGAAATTATAAATGAGCCTCGTCGAAATTAGCCGTCTCGCAGTTTCTGTTGGCAACATTGAATCGGAACTTCCGGCTCAAATGGAATGCCGGTGGATACAGATCCGAATCCGAAGCTCGGAACGCTTTGGATTCGGATCCGTATCCACCGGCATTCCATTTGAGCCGGAAGTTCCGATTCAATGTTGCCAACAGAAACTGCGAGACGGCTAATTTCGACGAGGCTCATTTATAATTTCAGTTCGGGCGCAACTTGGCGCAATTTTGTTCTTATTTATATTTTTGGATTCGGATCCGTATCCACCGGTTGTTGCCATTGTTATACATTGTTTCAGCTTCAAACAGTGGATATGGATCCGAATCCGAAGCCCGAAGGTCGCCATTGTTATACATTGTTTCAGCTTCAAACAGTTGTTACAGCATTCCTCATTGCGATGCTTCTGCTACCAGACCTCTTTGAAGTCATTCGCTGTCGCTCTGCCTCGTCTAAATCCACACGCTGATGATGCTACAAGCGCGAGCTCCCGACTTTCAGCCTCCCTGCCAAGAACGCGCGCTCGTGCAGTGCATGCTCTGTTTAAGGTCACATGCTGGCGCTTGTAACATCGGCTGCGTCTGAACATAAGCTGGAACGAAGTATAACTGCCATTGCTGTGTGCTTTTCTGGAGTCCTGGAGTCACTTAGTCTAAATATTTGAGCAAACAGCACTGCCATATTGCAGTAAACTCAGATGTATTTAAGTTTGTGCTCCTCCCTCTTGGCTGTACTTGCATGACTATAGACGTTTCCACTGTTTGCAAAAATGACAGTCCACACATGCAAAATCACAGTCCAGCCAGCACTGGCTCGCAATCGCAGCCAGCCAGAAACTGCGCGTGCATAACACACAAGCACAGCAATGAAGGCGCCCAATGCACTTTTATGGAAAGGTGTATTGCAAGCCTGCAGCCCGCATTGGCCCACCCCGAGGCCCTGCGCAGAAAACTTGGGAACATAGCAAAGGCGAGCGAGCAGTGATGGAGCAAGGTATGAGCTGAAAGCTATTTCTACCTGTTTGTTTATATTTACCTCTTGGCAAGTCAATTCCCTTACGTTTCACACTGTCGTGGAGTGTGACACGTGTTTTGTGTAATTTTCATGTAATTTCGTGACAAATGTTTCAACTAAAATATTAATTGAAACTACCGTTAAGTTAACATGGAATTGTCTATACGCCATATTTCGTTGAGTTTTGAAAACCAGGTGACATTTAGCCTCTTTTTTAACATTCTTAAAGGGGCCCTGCAATCATATTTAAGTGTATCCCTTTTTTGCGGTTTCCACGTCTCCTGGGGCTCGGGCAAGCCAGCGGGCACGGAGAGAGTAACTAAATATCAGTGCGTCATATTTTAATCAGACGACCCGGAACCTCCTCCACCGACGAGGGCGACCCGCAGTACCGAAAGCGCGCAAAATGTGACGTATTAGGTTCTGGGCTTACTACTGGTCAGAGCCGCTAAAAGCTTCTTTTTGGTCAAACTACAAAATATAAGTGGCACAAACCATTTCAATTATTTATAAAAGTAGTTTTTGTTCAGTATTTTAGATCAGAAAAGAAACGAATGCAGTTTATAAAGTACGGAAACAAGAAATGGCCCGTCGGCATACCCGCCGCCAAGCGGTGGAAAAGGCGGCGCATACTAGAAAGGAGTAGTGGGATCAGGCGCCGACACGGAAAGGTCTCGGATGTACACGGCGGCGCTGCGGTCGTATGGATAGCAGGATCCGACCGGCTCCGAGCGTTCCGAAGGCCTTCGGCGAGAAGCTTTGTCTTGCGGTTTGGCCGTTTCTCGGAATGGGAGCGCGAAGTGGCTCTCATTCTGAACTGATCTTTACCTCGTGTTTGCTGTCGTTTGTGGCCAGTGAAGTGTCATGCCGAATTAGTGTTTAATCGCGCAGCAAATGCAGTGAAAACCGCTCTGGCTGCCCGCTTCATACAGCCAAGCCAGATTACGCTTTAGTGGCACACTCTTGTGCCGTCGACACGGAATGCGGCAGCCGTGAGCGCTCGATAAGCTCACTACCCCTCCTCTAGTTCACGGCCACTTAAGCAACCAAGGACATCATGAGGGAGGTTATTTTTTGCTTGTTTTTGTAATTCTAATTTGCCTATAACATTTAAAATAAAAGGAATTTCGGGAAAAGAAAAGTTTCACTAAGTTACTACGTTCAGTGCGCTCAGGTTCGGTGCAAATTAAAACCCAGTAAAAAAGTCCTTGCAGGGCCCCTTTAAACCTCGTATGCTGCTCCCAATTTGCTCCAAGACTTCGTTTTTGCTGCACCCAGCCTGCTCCACACTGTAGTGTTTTCTGCTCCCAAGATTGCTCCAAAGCTGCGTTACCCAGTTCTATTCCTGACAACAGCGTCGAACGTTTTGCAGCGTCTCAGAATGCCACACTTGGCTTTGTGGCTCAATGTGCTGAAAACTGAAAGCTCGAAACCCAGTGTGTCTTGATGTATGGGAAAATTGGAAAATAAACGAGTGCATCACCAAATATGCTTTGTGATTGCTGGGGCTACTCTGTGTGAGAAGTTCGCCGTTCGCAATCAACCCAGGAGCCACGTGCATCGCTGCGAGTCTGGATGCTGCGCGTGTTCCTGACCCTGTGCGAACTGGACTTGCAAGTGGTGTCCTTGCTACTACACTCAGTACTACCCATGGAGCTGGCACGAGACCTGCAGGCCAACTCTGATGGTGAGTGGAACAATTGTGTTGGTTGCTGCCGCAAACAATTGCAGCAGCGTTTTTTATTTGTTTGTTGTTTCTCCTATAGTTGATGCCTTTTCGATAGTGTTGGGGGTCAGCTTGTTTTCCTTGTATCCAAATGCTGCTTTTCAGAGCATAGCCAACAAAGTGTTCCATGCCATAATAAAAACAGGGACAGAGATGTAAAAGAAGCATTGTAATGTTTGCAAGCAGTCAGTTATTCCCAGCTCGAAGTTCATAGTTTTTGTTTGCTGTCTTTAGTTTCTTTTTGCTGTGCTTTTACCGTGATCACCAAACACCAACAAGTCAAATATCAGGAAGGATACAATTTTCTGCCAGAGGCTGCCCAAAAAAGTGTAGCCTCCAATGTTTATGGTGTCGATAAAGTCTCCTGGAGCATGTCTTTTATTTTTCTCTTATCTCAGAGTTTTCATCTCATCTTAGAGTTGGAGGATTGTCCCTTAGACTTGTGATGCTGGAAAGCAGGTTTGACAGGCTCATCTCTCTTTCAGACATTGAGAGGACCAAATACACAGCACTGCTGCTGACTGTCATCTTCTCCACAGGAGAGAAGCCACCGAACAACGTCCACGGTCTGTCATTTAATTTTTTTCTGGGCAAGCACTAGGCCAATTGAAAATTTTGACGTGCCTACAAGGCACAATTTAATTTGTCAGTTATCCAGACTCAATTACTTTATAGATGTGTTGCTTTGAACGAAAAAAAAGAAACCAATTTTGCTTGACATTGTTTGCTTGTGACAGAAAAGATGCAATATATGGAGTGCTTTTAAAAGCCCGGCAATTGGGACCACACAAATTAGAAATGAGAGGCGATTTGGTCTCAAATAAATGTGGCATTGAAACAGTTCACTTGCAATGTGTGCACAAAAACACACAAACCTTGACCTTCTTATAAGCTGTTAGCAATAGCTCCGCTTTCACCAGTCATTCCTATTGTTCCGAACAGATGCTCGCGCGAGTCAGACTTGGCTGACAGAGCGCGGTCACTCGCTGACTCGGGCTCCCTAACTGGCACGATCGTACGACCATGAATCTCTCTCCGGTTCCCCCTGGTTGCAGAGTATGTGGGTGAGGCATTTGTGGGCTTCCTGCTGGAGACAGTGGAGTCTGCGGAGGCGGAGGAAGAAGTGGCGGAGCTGTGCCTTGGCACCCTCCTCTCCCTCAATCTGCACCTTGACATGAGGGAGGACGACCACTTTGTGCTCAGGGCTCTCAAGGCCCGCCAGGATGCACGGGCACTCACCGAGAGGCTCATGCTCCTCGTCAACCGAGAAGGTCGGTCTTCCCGCTTTTTCCTTCTTTTAGTGCCTAAATAAGAGATGAGCACATTCTGGCCTCTGGGACATTTAGAGGAGGCAACGGAACAATTAGAATTTTTTCTGACTAGGGTACTCGTGTTTTGAGGCAAGACAGTACCCAAGAAGAAAGACTGCCAGTATATACTTTTACAGTATATACTGGCGGTTGCAAGGAAGAATGCAGTGCAAAGTTTCATCTGTCTACATGAATTGTAAAAGAAATTATAGTCATTTTCATCAGGAACGCACTGACTTCGTCTGTTTAGGAAAACTATTGTTAGAAAGCTAATGTAATATCCAATGTTTTTCTTCCCTAAATCAGCAGCAGAATGCCTTGAGAGAGCAACTGTGAAAACAAAATTTCCAAAATGTAATTTATTTTATGCTAACTTTGGGGAGTGAAAAATCAAATAAATTTTTTGCCTTTTATGTCGTCGACAAAATCTTAACACCTTCTATAAAAGACATCCAGAAAGTCAAAAAACAATTCCACAGTTGAATCACCCATAAAATTTAAGTTAGGAAAAATAAAGTGATAACGCAGAGGTTCGGGCGAGTTGGTTGCTCATGATGTACAGGGGGAACAGTGCACCTGCAAAACAGTCACTCAAGTCGAGCACATACACAAAAGAAGGAGACATGCAGGGCTGACTAACAACTCTTTGGAAATCCCTCATGAACTTCCTAACGAATGCTCTTTAAGATTCCTGTATCTTCGACTCTTCATGTTACCCCACCATTTATGTTGGTCCTATGAGCCCAGGGGGAAAAAACCGCTTTTACCATTCAACTTGGCACGTTCAGAACTCGTTAAAAAGAGCATCGAGCGGTTATGCCTCAAAAACTCATTCACAAAATCCTGCTGACATTCCATTCCATTAGTGGCCGAAAAACTCAACAACGAAAGCAGGCAAGACGTTTGCACTCAACAAAAGCAAAGAGACAAAACAAAGAAACCCATCATTGTGCCATATATTCATCATGTTTCTCACGGACTGAAGAAAATAGCTAACCGAATAAACTTGGAAGTCATCTTTTCAGCTCCTAACAAACTTCGCACCTTGTGCAAAAAAGTAAATACCCCACCAATTACAACTGTCGGCTGTAAAAAGAAGCATAAGAACACCTTTGTACCTTGTACAGAGAAGGTGGTGGACTCCTTTCACCTCTCGTGTGGAAAACTCTACATAGGTCAGACCGGAAGGTTTCTTAACGATCACCTTCGTGAACATAAGAACACATTCACGAACAAAGGCTTTGGACCTTTAGGCAATCGCTGTCGAAACTGTGGCTGCTCAGTGGTGCTGAGTAACTGGGCCGTGCTTGGCAAGCACCACAACCAGCTCACAAGAGGAACTATCGAGGTAGAGAATATTGCAAAACATAACGACAGATGTGTTAGTACTCCAACTTTAAATTTATCACAAAAAGAATTAGACCACCTAGCCCTACATTAATTTCAATTTAGTTAGTTTTCAATGCATTGCCGAAATGTCTCGATGCTTCTGCAGTGTCGTAATATAAATCTGAGTTAAAAAAATGAGAAACTGGTTTTGTGATCACTCCTTTAAAAGTATGCAGCTAGAAGCAGGTGCAGATGGCACTATAATTGTCTTTCTAAAAACACTTTAGTCCACTGGGAAATGAAAGCGAGAGGCTCCATTAGGTCTACATACATTTATGGCTCTCTCATAATCTGGGTATGTATGTAAAGGTTTTCTGGGGTGTTTCTGTTTGATTTTTTCAGTTAGTGTAATGCAGGGTTCTCCTCACGGTGGGCGGCAGTGGCTTTGCCCACCGCTCCGACTGATGGCTCACCGCTCCAACTGACCGCCCACCGCTCAATCTTTTTTTTTTTTATGTCGCGGGATGACGATGCGATTTTGCCTGCGCACATGGCTGCAGTTTGTCGCCGTCATACTCAGCAGGTCCCCACACCGCCACGTTATTGTTCGCTATCACATCGCTGACTGCCGCCACTGCCACACTGCTTCAAACAAAGAGCGCAGGCGCTCGGCGTGTTTCTTTTTCTTTTTTTTCTTTCTCTATCTCAGCGGCGCGCCGCCGGCAGTGCTTGGAGGGGGGGGTAAACAAATGCAACGAACCAAAAAACAAAACAAAAAGACAAACCCCCCCCCCCCCCCCACCCCCAGTAATGTCCACCCCTCAAAAAGTCCTGGGGAGAACCCTGGTGTAATGTTAGTGTTTGTCCCCATGTTCTTTTTCTAGTCTTGTGGTGTTGGGTGGTTATTTTATTTAGAGAAGCGTGTCACCAATAAGGTGTGTCCACCACTTTTCACGGGTTTACTCCTTTGCAGAGAAAACCCAATAGTATAATGTGCAACCTTTCATTGCTGAGCGAGTGCTGCAGTTGTCCGGAATGTTTGCCACACCACAGGCTCATCCCGATACACATTCTACATATTCATCCTTTCTAATTCAGAGATTATCTTCTAAACTCTAAATGGCTGCCTACGCAGACCACGCCTCCCTTTGACTTCTTGCGGACTCGATTTTGCGCCTAATTGGAGCATAGGAAACGCTCCCCCCGGGTCCACCTTGCTGCTATGTATTCTGCTTTGCGTGCGTGCTTATGGGGCACTAAATTGTGTCTGCTAAAGCTGAATGAACTCGTGTTCTGCGCAGACAGCCCTTAACAGTCGAGGAAGCGCACAACATAGTACTGTCTTTCATCGACGTTGGTAGCTTGCCTTTCTTGCTTTCTATAAAAATGCTCCGCACCTGTGCATTGTCACAAAAGCAAATGGGAAGCCCTGTCGCTTCAAAAGTCATCTTGAAGTGTGCTCGATCATAACGTCCCTGTTGCCAGACGACCCTGCCCGTGTGCTGACCCACGAACTGAGCGGTGTGCCCAACTCCGTGCTCAAGTTCCTGGTGGAGCTGTTCTCGGACAGTGCCACGGCCGAACTCTTCTATCTCAATGATGTGGCCGTGCTGCTGGACATCGTGGCTCGACAACTGAGTGACCTGCCCCCTGGGGACAAGGTGAGCAAGCACACTATAACATTACAAAGGCTCAATGTGTTTCTTCAGCCTTGTTTGGAGTAGATTAATTTCGTAATGTGCATTGCATGACATGGTTGTAGTCGGAATGCTCTGTCACTGTTTTTTTTTTCTCCACACCCTATTTATCTGCAGTGAATTGATTACCGCAAAGTACCGGGTGACTGCCCACCCCACATTCACTGAAAATTGGGTTTATCTAGACATGGGTGCTTGTCCGGTCAAAGTGGGCTCTTAACGTATAGTTAGCAGGATTCCCAAGTTTGAGAAATGTGAATAGAGGGCTCTCCAACAAAGTGAGCAATTCTGCGGTATTTTACGGTACTATGAAAGCTACCTGCAAGGTGTGTTTATTGTGCGGCATGAATGGGGGGGTGTGAATTTTGGTGCTCAGCGCTAGCTTTCGCAACCAAAATGCAGAGTTCATGCTCGGCGTGTCAGAATTGGACGCAAGTGTTTAGACAGCTTGAGGTCAGTCTACCTCCAAGGTATGGCCACACTGGTTCACAATGATGGTGAAAAGTTGAGCCACTGTAGTACAACTGGCTGAATGCATTGTGTTTGTGCTGAGCATGTGAGACGCTGCTCAGATAAAGATGACAGAAATGTTAGATATACTTTAGCAAGTCACTACAACTTCGATTGCCTCCTGGCCCCTTTAAATGCGTAAAAAGTATGGTGTGGACCTTTTATTGTTCCTACAGCCAAGCTACATCTCTAACCAAGTTTACTTTTAAAGGGCAATGATGGTGAAGCCGTTACAACTCATGCTCTCCAAGCATGAGTCACTCGACATCCTCAGAGCACCGCTTGGGGCATCACTAATCAGGAAACTGACAGTTTATGTGCCCTCAAATAAACGTTTGCTCGAAGACGGCCACCGAGTTGGTGGAAATATCCCATTAATTTAGTTCAGCTTCCCGTTGCATGGAATTTGCGTATTGCAAATCACTTTTCTTTGCATCTCCGCTTCTCTTTTGCAAAAGTGTAAAAAAGGAGAAGGAGGGAGCAAGAACTGCAGGTCAACCTTTGAAGAGACTTTGCTCTGCCAAAAAACATTTTTTTTAAAACTGCCTCTATCACATTAACTATCATTCTTGTTGTGGGATAGTGCTTTTCGGGGCATAGCTTATTTATCCTGGCAGTTAAGGGGGGACACTGGCTAGAGGTTGAAATTCTGAACTACTCAAATGATCGGAATGAAATTTGCAGGGGAGATTTAACTTCAGATGAAGGGGTACTATGCAAACTTTCAGTTCTCTAGGACAACTTTACATACCTGCATAAGATGTGTCACTCTTCGTTAAGAAATGTATGATATGCAAAGGAAGCTACTAGGCATAATTTTAATTGCTTGAATATAAAGTGGGGGATGTGGGACTTTGGGCTATCTAGTTTTTATAACTCAAGTGTAAATATTTTAGGAAGGGTGATTACCTCGAAATATGAGATGCATAACTGCCCTATGTCAATTTTTGAACACTTCTTGAAAAAAACGAGTTAGAGGTGAATTCTGGCGTATTTTTATCCCGTGAATCTGAACATCACATTCGTTTTCTCTGAAGATGCAACTAAAAGCAACAAAACGCGAAAAACCTCCGACCAGTCGTGACGTCATACTAGGATCTTTGGGCCGCCAAGCGTGTGTCGCTCGTGTGGGCAGCGCGTGCAATGGCAAGCTTGTCAAGTATATTTTTCCGCAATGACGGCAGTCGTGACGTCTCTTTCTGACCTTTTTGAAAATAGCAAGAGTGCGCGCGCATAGCTTTGACAGGCGCTGAAGATGCGCGAGAGCAGAGATTCCGACAACTCCTAGTGTGACGTCACGCCCTGGGAAGGAGGGGCTTCGGCGGTACTTTAAAAATTAATTTCTGAAGCCTCCGCGCACCAATTTGAAAAATAATCTTGCTATTCCTGATTCTGGAGGTAGAATGAAGGCTATTAAAGTGTTTTTTCTCAAATACAGAACCGCTTCAGTTTCCCTTTAATGAGGACATCAACTTAAAACAAAATAAAGTAGATAGCCCAATTCTCCAGTAAATTTCAGTTCAGAAACATCTTGACTGTGGTATCAGAATAATTTTATCCTCAAACAAAAGATTTCTTCGTATGAAATTTGCAGCAAAAAGTGGAACTGAGAAAAATGCATTCAAACATTGAACTCCTTTACTTTGTTAGTGCCTCACAATGTGTTGAAAATATTTTATATCAATGTAACTATTTGGCGCATGGTTATGAAATTTAGTGTAAGAGTGTATAATTAGTTTCTAAAACTGAAAACCTCAAAATTGAAAAATGAATTTTTTCAAAAATTTTTGAAACTTAGGTTTATGTCCCCCCTTAAGAACAAAGCTGCGCGAGTCAAGCATAAACTTGCATGTGTGCAGCACATACACCCATTGCTGTCTGCCCAAGCCTCGTTTTGTAAAAGGGGTCATGAAACGCTTTTCCAACTTTTTCCTGTTTAGCTTTCCTCCTCAACTCATAAATCGCGCATTCCACCAAACAGTTCAAGAAGACGAAAAGAGGGAGTCCCCTCTTGCTCGGAATCTGGTTTATGTACCCGGATAGAGCCATTGTCCCCCTAGAAGATTAGCCCGTCGCTCAAAATTCAGACAAAAGTTGCTTTCCCCAACCAGTTCACCCCGGAGCTGACAGTGCTGTGGAAGCTTCGTGCTCGTTGGGCCAGCCACACTTGCCACATGATCACGCTCCTCCGCGCATACCCACGCGCAGAGATTGAGGTCAGGTGATAAAAGGGAGGTGGCTGATGGTCCGGCAAGTGCGTAGCTTCCACCACAATGTCAGCTTAGAGGTGAAGGGACTGAGTGAGGTCCGGTTTTGTGTGACGTGCGTTTGGACCCGATGACGCGCTTTTGGGACCGCGGATGTATCACAGTGAAAAGGCAGACAGCTTGCGAAGGGGAGGAGGAACGAAATAGTCCCCTGTGTTTTCAAATTTTCGCACTGAAAGTCAGGCTCTTGTCTTTCTGCCTTTTTTTTTTTGGCCCACCGAACGATGTGCTATTAGTAAAATCCCAATCGAAAATGATTGATCCCAACTAAAAATCCGTTTCATGGGCCCTTTAAGCAACAGCGATAGGATGCTTAGCATTTGAGTTATGTCGTCGGTATTTGGTGACTCTACACTCGGAGACAAGCTAAGGATGCACCAGAGGCGTGGCCTCCAATGCAAGCCTTGGATGCCTTCGGGAACTCTTGGGAATCTCGAAAGCACGCCTGCCGCAATGAGCACTTTCTGGAGGCGGAGCGTCTGGTGTATTTTCATCATTAACCATTCTGTGTGCCCACTTGCACGAAAGCATCACAGCAGGGTAACCCTGTGCTAGCTAAGAAGGCATCCTGGGCGGCTGGTGCGCAGAGGAGGCCCCTGTACCTGTCCCTGGTGGAGCGCGTGCTGGGCTCCACTTCGTACGAAGGCCACCGGCAGACTGAGCTGCAAAGGTGCTTCCAGGCTGCACTCTCTCGGGAGGAGTCGGCTCCGGAGGAAAAGGAGGTCGTGCGGCGCATCCAAGACACCTGGCCCCATTGGTTCCCCCCCGCCGACTGCTAGGCTCGCAGCGCCTGACACCCGAGCAGTGTCGCTTTTGAGGTTACCCTGTCCTCCACCACTGCCCGCTGCAGCCGAGAGTGGAAGGCTGCAAGGTCGACGGGTTGCAAAAGATGTGGATCGAAAGCAGCAGAGTGAAGAAGAACCGCGCTGGGTTGCTGTTCGTGAGTCGGAGGGAATTCACAGATGCCGATTGCCTCTTTTGTGTCTTGTGCATGTGGATTTTCTGATGCGTGTTCTTGTTTTATTAATTTATAAATATTAGGTAGTGCCATATCTTAATTCTTTAGCTTTGTTTGGCTTTGATGAACTGCTATCAATGCGCATGTTTAGTGTTATTTTTTGTCTATTTTTTTCTTAATGAATAGAGTTTTTTTTTTTTTTTGCAGTGCAGCTATCTTTTCCATTAAGGGCTTTGTCTCGAAGCAGGGGTTTGATGGTCATATGAAACAACCACGTTTCATGACTACGTATTATTGAGATTATTGTTTGAATGGTGACAGTCTCATTGATGCAGTGCTAACGCTGAAAATAGTGTGTAATAAAACAAAACAATCTTGTAACTTAGAATTTTGTTTTTATACCCCCCACTGGAAAGAGTTTTAAGCTTGACAATTGGTGTCTTGATAACACGTTGCATCCTACTAAAATTACATGGGAAAGTGCGAATGTTTTGTAAATTGCTCCTAGGTATGTCAGGTATTCTAGTACATTTGCTAGAAAATGGGGAAACCCTTTAGCCAACTTATTAAACGTAAAGAGCCAATTATTCATTGCACTTCGTCCAAGGCAACCACCCAAGCTGTGGCCATAGGCAGGGACTCAAACCGTAACCATAAACAAAGCCGAAAAACCATTTAGCAACAAAATGTTTTCAGTAACCATAACCGTAACGAAACCGTTATTTGACATTTATCGAAACCGTAACCGTAATTTATTTACCGGTAACCAATATTAACCGATATTAGCCGGTATTAAGGGGGGACATGGGCCTAAATTTTAAATTTTTTTGAAAAAATTCATTTTTTAATTTTGAGGTTTTCAGTTTTAGAAACTAATTATACACCCTTACACCAAATTTGATTACCATATGCCAAATAGTTACGTTGATATAAAATATTTTCAACACATTGTGAGGCAGTAACAAAGTAAAGGAGTTCAATGTTTGAATGCATTTTTCTCAGTTCCACTTTTTGCTGCAAATTTCATACGAAGGAATCTTTTGTTCGAAGGTGAAAGTATTCTGATACCACAATCAAGATGTTTCTGAACTGAAATTTACTCAGGAATCGGGCTATCTACTTTATTTTGTTTTAGGTTGAAGTCCTCAGTGATAAAAAACCAAGTTTTCAAAAATTGACAGAGGACAGATATGCATCTCATAGTTTGTGGTAATAACTCTTCCTGAAATATTTACATTTAAGTTATTAAAACTACATAGCCCGAGGTCCCATATCCCCCACTTTATATTCAAGCAGTCAAAATGATGCTTAATAGCTTGATTTGCATATCATAGATTTCTTAATGAAAAGTGACACATTACCTTATGCAGGTACGTAAATTTGTCCTAGAGAGCTGAAAGTTTGCACAATACACCTACATCTGAAGCTAAATCTCCCCTGCAAATTTCATTCCGATCACTTGAGTAGTTAAAAAGTTTGAGCTCTAGCCAGTGTCCCCCCTTAACCGAAAAACAAAAATATTAGTTTCTCTCAAGAAGGACCTTGAGGAGGGATCTTGAAATGTTGTGGCCATTTGACACCGTCAGCGAGTGGTGCATCTGGTAATGCATTTATGTTCAATCTAAATTTAGGACTAAGAATACTAGTTGGAATCAGTGGTCGAGCTTATAATGAAAAGTCTCTATTTTTAAATCTGCCACACTCCTACAATTGCTACACAAATTCAGTATGTCTCGCCTTCAGGGCATTAACTAATAATTTACAATTCTGATATGTCCATCTGACTCGATTCTTTCAAAACCACCGATATTCCTGGCTTGCAACTAGGGATGTTGCGAACTGGTTGGGGTTGGAGTTTGACCAGGTTTGATGTTTTCAAACTTTTATTGAAAAGTTCGAGAAAGGTTGATTAGGGTTCGACTCTATGCGCATGCGCGACGGGCTGGCTCAGTTGGTTTTCGATTGGATGGTGATGACCAGATGAGCTAGTCAGACATTCTACTTTTAGTAAGGGCAGCACTGTTTGGTTGTTTTAGTAATATAGCAAGAATAAATTATGTTATCAACTTTTAAGTTGTTAGAATTATGTTCCGTTGGTTGTAACTATTTATAAAATAAAACAGCCTATTCTGTAAAATTGTGTTCTCCAAACCTAGACATGCTTCTATCAAAGTCTAGCCACACTGTCAAAAAGTGGAACCTTATAGAACCTGTTTAAAAGGTAGGAGGTTCGTCGAACTGCTAATCAACCCTTGAGGTTCGACGTAAAAATCTGGCTCGGCGAAAGTTTGTGACATCCCTCGTTGCAACATATCTGTAGGAGGAGCGTCGCGTCCAAACCTCGGAGAAATACGGCGTCACTATATAAATGCACAATTTTTTTAGCACAACAGAATCGGACAGCGAGAGACGTGCACTTCTATAACCACATGCATTTGCTTGGAAATAGCAAACGTGGCGTAGGTTTAACAGTGCACAACAATGGCGACTATAAAAACAAAACTAGCAACACAGGACATATTTTTACAGCTTTCGGTGTTGTTTGTTCCCCTCCTTAGTCTTCCTTGTTTTGCGCTATTGCATTTACATTATGTTTGACTTTCATTAACTAGCCCAGCTCTCAATTGTATTACTTTATTCCACTTAGCAGTATTTGACTAAAAAAGGCTATAGTTTTTCCTTCAGTGTGGGCGAAGCCTCTTCTGCATATCTTAGGTTGCAACAAACTATAGCGACGAGAAGGTGCGAATGGCTCTTCCAGAACCCAGTGGGAACTTTCTGATGGCGGTTTACAAACGCTGCCAAACAACAAAGTAAAAGATTTTTTTTTTTTTTTTTAATTATATAGAATGCGAAGATCCCCAAGTAGCAGGGTGACATGTATGCTTGGGTGTCAAACTATATGATGCAAATAGATGTAGTGAAGGAACAAGTATTGGAGCTGGAAATGTTCAACTTCTTACCAATTAGAAATACTAAGACGTTTTTGTTATTGTGAATGTCCCGTTGCTGGATATCTGGAACTACTTCAAACCTCTTACTATAAAACGGCTGTCTAGCATTTCAATAAAAAATAATTATTGGAGAAACCGAAATAAACAGTTTCTTAGGAACATATAACCGATAACCAATCAGGAAAAATTTAAACCGTAAAAAACTGAAACGAAACCGATATCAACAGGAAACGGTAACCGTAACCGAAACGTTACATTTTTTCGGTTTGAGTCCCTGGCCATACACGACACTATAACTCAAAACTTTAATCAGCATTGAGTTACTGAGCATGACTTTCACATGCTTTTCTATACTGAGAAGCACATGTTCACTTCTCTCCATTGCTAATCTTCTTTCGTAAACTGTCATGATTGGCTCTCTGCATGCTGTCCAGAAAGTTAGTAGCCTCGCAAACTTTCTTCACAGAAAATTTGCATTATTTCTGAGCAGACAATATTTCTTAATTGTATTTTTGATAAAATTATTTTCCCAACTAGTATTTGTTTGAAGCTTCATTCCATATCAAGGTATATCTAGTATGAAAGACCTAATTGTACATTGCCAGTTTTGTTTTGTAAATATTTATTTGCTTAATTTTCTTTATTTTTAATTGATGCTGCTAGCAGGCTTAGTGGACGACTTCTTCTGTGGGGCTTCTTTTTTAAGCTTTGAGTTTGTAGATTTTTTTGGCAAAACACAGACGTGTAGACTGTGCAGGAATGAAATGCTTTTACTTGATACTCTCAGTATTTCATTGCAGCTTTGGAGCTTACTGCTGCAAAACCAAAACATGGTTTTCCTGATTTTTGAAGTGTTTGAATGTTTGGCAATGTACAATTAGGCTATTCACAGATCACAGCTTTTTAGCAATGCTAATGCAATTAATTAAACCACACTTTCACGTTCCTGTCATTCGGTGATCTAAAGGCACAAAACAGTTACCGTATTTACTCGCGTATAGGTCGACCTGTTTTTCAAAAATCGCCTCATCAAAACTGGGGGGTCGACCAATACGCGAATCCCGGTATTATATTTTTCAACTTTTTTTTTTTTTCGGGGGTCCCGAAGTTAGGGGGTCGACCTATACGACGTATCGACCAATATGCGAGTAAATACGGTAGCTGAAACACACATTCTCCAGCTTTTTGTTTATTGCGGTATGCTCATGTTTGTGGCACCAATGTTGCTTGTAAAATTTGGTGCTCAACTTTCTAACCCGTACCAGTCACATGCCTAAAAGTGCCGGCATCATGTTTGGGACAACAGTGTCGTGCAATGTACCATCCAGTTGTCGCTGCCTGTTGAGCAGCGACATTTAATCAGGAACCAATTTTCCTTGTAAACCAGAAGCTTGTGTATTAGAACCACACTTCCCTCTGTTCTATTTTTGCATTTGACATTCCTCTGCAAGAAGTTTGTATACAGTCATTCCTCAAAAGGCTGTAGTGAAAATTATTTGTTGCAAGTGTGCGCATTTTGGTGGCACTTTTGCAGCTTCTGAGAGACACCATCAGCACTAATGGCCTCTGGTGACTATAGGCCTGACAACCCCTTCTAATTGTGATGTCTTTCATTTCAATAATTGGTGCTTTTATCACTGAAGTCAAGGCATTGGGATGCATAGACTTGCTCATAACCTCGTGTAGCTTGCCTTTGCTACTTGTCTTGGGAGAGCCAGGTAAAATTGTGTCACCTGCCCCTGACAGATACAAAGTCAGCTTTGGTCAATTCATTTAAAGAACTGAATTTGCTAGGGAAATTTGACTTTTTCTTTGCAAGCAGGATTTTCCACGTGACATTCCAACTTTGATACGTAAGCTCCCGGGATCAAGCTGAATATTTGGAGCTGAGCTAGGTACATATGCGTATAGGCATCTGTAATACCAAATGATTGCTTTATGCTTGTGAAATGCCTTTCTCTGAGAGACATATAGCACTTGAAGAGATACAGCAATCAAAATTCTGCTCCTCATTCTTTTGATTTGAAAGCTTCACAAAATATCTCTTGGGACAAATAAAGCTACTATGAACTTGTTTCTAGTACATACCTTTGAAGCTGTGTTGGAGGACGCTGCATGATCTATGATCTTCATCCAGAGAGCAGCACCGCAGCACGAAAGAACTGCATTGTTGCGAGAGCAAACATGCGTCCAAGCCTGCACAGTCACCGACTCAGTGAAATCGTCTGAGAGTAAGAGGATAGTGCATAGCGTCAGTCTGTCTTCGGGCATTCGGGTCAGTGAGGCTACTACTATAAAGCCATTGGTGCCCGCGCAGAAGCAAGTCGCACCAGAAGGGTCCCAAGATGCTTGCAACATCTTGGCAGCTGCTTCTCAACGGCTTGTCAGAGTGGGGCATTTCAAACACAAAGATACA